CCTACGAGGAGAGGATGATCTGGAAGATGAGGATAAGTATTCCTCATACTTTGCCTGGTCGAACTCGTACTCGAGGATGATCTGGAAGATGAGGATAAGTATTCCTCATACTTTGCCTGGTCGAACTCGTACTCGACCTCTTCATTGATCGGGATGATTCCTCATACTTTGCCTGGTCGAACTCGTACTCGACCTCTTCATTGATCGGGATGATGATCTTTGGTTGCAACACTACAGCTTCGGCAGAGAAGCTGTCGACTCCCACTGTGGTCGCCATTTTATTTTTATCAAAAGTTGCTTTTTTCCATTACTTTCAAACATGTTACACCGTTTATCGATTACAGGTTCAAACTGGAAGAAAAGTTGATCTTTTTATAAGATCTTCTTACAATAAAAAAAGATTACAACTTTATCAAATAAAACGCAGCAGTAGTTTATCTCCCGTTACTTTGCGTGGCGGGATCTTTGCCTGTACCGGGGACGTGTTATTCCATGGACCACCGCAGATCAAACTCGATTGATAGTATAACTACGCTCTTGTTTCACAAAGGAAATAATTACCGAAGCGACAACCACGACCAAGCGAGATTGTAGCTCTTCTCGAGATTAAAACCAAGTTTAATCCGGAGGAAAGAAGGAGAAAGAATCACAAACCTTTCGAAGGACATTCTTTATGAAAGTATTCGTCAAGATCTGATGATTCTCCTCTGAAATTCGTGGTTAGCTGGACAATTTGACAGCACCTCGCCTCTTTAATTTTAGATCCTCTTGAAAGAAGACCCTAGGCTTCTATTTATAGGCTTTTGGAGACGTGTTTTTGGATAAGAATTGATGTTTAAACGTTATCTGTAGTTAATAACTGCTTAAACGCCTTTAGGGATAGACTCAAAACAGTTGGGGAGGCCCTGGGACGAAAGAATCCTTAAAAATCATCGAAATTCGTGTTTTGGGAGTCTTAGGAGTCAAAAAGAATCGTGGTGGCTCGGGACTGTGCGAGCCACTATTTGGTGGCGAGTCACCATTTGGTGGCTCGCGCCTACGCAAGCCTCCGGGTGTGTTTTTATTCATCTTTTGATACTTCGGCGATTCGTGACCCCTTAAGTTCGCTTGTTTTGCGTACGGTTCATCGTTTCGCTGACTTACACGTTTTACTGATCCACTTCATACGTTTACTGGTGTTGGATAAACACTCTTAACTCGGATAATAACGTTTATCATCTTCTCGTTGTCTTGAACTATGTTTAGGAAGCTATAGGTAATTTTTGACGTCTACAGGGGTCTCCCTTGCCTTTGTATGTCTCTATGCGAGGCATTTTGAATTTCTCATACGGGATATTCATAAGGTCGTCTGAAAGGGCCTTTGTATGTCTCTATGCGAGGCATTTTGAATTTCTCATACGGGATATTCATAAGGTCGTCTGAAAGGGGGTTGTTACTCCCAAAGACGCTTGTTTTTGAATTTCTCATACGGGATATTCATAAGGTCGTCTGAAAGGGGGTTGTTACTCCCAAAGACGCTTGTGATCGATCTGTTGACTTGATTGTATCCAGAGGCTCTAATGGTAGCTGAAGGGACTGAAGAGTTACGATGGTGGAGAGTCTTAGGGACTACTTCTTGCGGCTGTGGAAGCCAGCTGAGAAGCTCATTAGAGAAGGCAGCAAATTACTCTTGGCAAGATTGAAAAATCATATGAGCTATTGCTTCAAGTTGGGCTTGAGTAGCATAGCTCTGATGAGGTCCTCTAGGACGAGATTGCTCATCTCTATCTTTAGAACCAGATATGTTCTATCAAAAAAGAAAGAAGGCCCCACGGTGGGCACCAAACTGTTGATGTTCGATATCACACAGACTATTAATCCAGAAGAGGATGGTTACAGGGTTGATGAAGGATGATGAAGGGATCTCCTCCTTTCCTGACTTTATGTTTGGCCACTGAGTTAGAGTTTACGATCTACACAGAAGAAGTCGTGAGAGTGCGGGGTGATGATTCCCCCGTGGTACCTCTGACAATCAAGTCAGTTGATAAACTTGAGCTTGAGTGGAGTAATAGAACTGTGTGTTCTTATACTATGTGCATTAGAGATGATGATCTCTCAGATTTTGATCAGGAGGAAAGTTTAGATTGTGAACCTGCCAACTTGCCTACCCCCTCCTCTCTGCACCTCTCCTGTTTTATGGCGAATAACATATGTATTTATAGAGGATGCCAAGGGCAGATTGGTCACTTTATGAGTGTATTGTAAGGCGGTGGTAAGGGGTGAGTTGGAGGTTGAGTCACCCTTGGTTCTATACGTGTCGATTTATGAGTGACGGGAGGTTACTTCAATGATATTAGGAGCCAACAGCTGACGAGTCTTGTTGGTTTGTGAGTGACGGGAGGTCACTTCAGCAATATTAGGAGCCAGCAACCAACGAGTCTTTAGACGGCTGAGGACGGGAACATAATGATGATCATCAAAGATTAAATAATATTGAGAAGTAATATTCTGGGTCATCCTCGGGAGGAGTGTCAGCTAACGCTGAATAGTGATCTTTTGATATGAAGAGGATCGACTGAGTTCACCTCTCGAGTCGCCTTTGAGGAATGATGCCGACTCGACTGGGGGAGTGATGACTCAGCTGTCCTTCAGGTCAACTCCGAGGAGTGTTAAATCTCTGGAATACTAATTTTCGTACCTACTAACACTGCCTTCCGAGTCGGCAGATCATGTCGGCTTGTCTGGCTGGTCGAGATGTCGACTCATCAGATCATACAATTGGAAACAGTTATACTCCATAATAAAGATGCATGTCTTAAGTTGAACAACTCTCGTCTATTGTTTATTAGCCTACCCATGTGCTTGTTTAAATGATAATGTACACCACAATTAGAGGAGATAAATCTAGATATGGTAGTATAACTCGCATCACGCAAATAATATTTGCCTACAATTATAAACAACACAATATAGTAAATAAATATATTTTATAAAAGTTATAATTAAATATTAATTACACATTCTATTTACTATCATAGACTCTTAATCCATGAGGCTATGGTCTTAAAGTGCATCTTGTAGTACTTTATAATTATTTGCGCACCCCTCCCATCCAGCTAAAATGTACGAAAATAACTTATTTAGAATGCATGCAGCTAGAATATTTTGAGTTACAACTTTACTGTCTCTAAAAACGGCAACAAGTTTACCAAGAAGCATGGCATCGATGTCTCTTCCATCTATCATGCCAATGGAATCCTATACCATGTATTAAATTACTATTATTTCATACAATAACAAAGCTCTTCTATTCAATGTTTGTTATATGAATGAGTTTATTACTTTTAAAATAAGGATAGTACTAGGGATTATTTGTAATCTCTGGCCCCCACGTCATTTAATATTGCTTCATGTACCGCCTCCTTATATGACCAACTGCTTCTTAGCATTTATTGAAATATCTAGAAACTATATCCCCTGATCTTATGAAATGTAACCCTACTATTCTTTTTTTTGTCCTAATATATTAAGGAACATGATTAATTGTTCTTCTACTTTAACATCACATGAATCCTTTAATAAGCCCTAATTCTCATTATTCTAATAAGATCTTCAAACGCCATTGGCCTCATTCTAACATAATCCCTACAACTTTGACTATAGCCCAAAAACACACGGTCTAACGAGATCTTCAAATGCCCTTGGACTCATTCTAACATAATCTCTACAACTTTGACTAAAGCAAAAAAACACACGGTCTATGTGTTCATTTCTAGAATCTGTCTTTTGTTTTCCCCCTTTTCTATGATGATAAGTGATTAATTTCCTACTACAATTTCTTCTCATTAAACATGCAAATACAATAACGATGGCAGAAATGGTAGCATTGCCCATCCTATTTAACATTTATTCAATCAACATCATCGATGTACGATGATTAAAAAATATAGTCTTAAACATATGCAAATGCTTACACTCAAAGCAATTTCTAAAACTTAGCTAAATAATCAATTTATACAATTAAATTATTATTTTTTAATATCAACTAAGACATCATATTGCAAATTCATGGCAATAATCATACATTTCAAATAGCATCAACTCAATATCATCCAAAATCATGGCAAAAATCATAAAGTGCAATAACTATGATTATCAATAATTTCTATCAAACTAATAGTACAAACCCAATTTGAGCTAATTATCAATAATTTTAGCAAGAATGAAGTCAATAATTTCTGTCTTAAAATTCACCAATATTGGCAATAGTTTTACTAAAAATATACATTAGACTGCAGCTAGGAAAAAAACCCAACAAAACAAGATATCCAACAAGCGATGTGACCAATCTTTGAAATATTAGGGGAGATCGAAACAAAACCAGGTGATCTCTGAAACTCTAAATTATGAAAGTATAATACCAAAGACAAACCCTAAATATCAACTCAAATATAGTAGAAAAACCCTAAACTTTCTAAATTTCATCTTCAGTAGGGATCACCTAAACCTAAATGACTAATCAGATGTTTCGATTTGACATTTTAGAGTAAATTGAGGCAAATGACAGTGAATTTGGATGAAAGACGAACTAAGGTTCTTTTTAAGATGGAACTAGAAATAATGAGGCATGAGACGAAACCAATAGGGGTAACTCTAGCGCCGCTATTTTTATCACATGATAAAGAAAATGAAAAAAAAGTTAGAGATGATGTGGCATAAAATTGTCAAAATTTTTACCCATTTCCCATTCAAAACTAAGGAATTAGGCATTCCAAAAAAAACTGTGTACTATTCTTGTTTTATGGAAAACTTTTCTTAAATTTTTTTAAACCAAATGAAAGTAATGGAATCCTATAAAGTCATTTTTGCTACTTTTATTTCCAAATCCAAAAAATCATCATGTTTTCAATAATTTTGGGTAAACCAAACATGCTCTTACTTGTAAGAAAAGCAATCATCCACTTATGGTAAGGGTGGGCATGAGTCAGGCAAAAACATAGGCCGACTCGGCCTAGCTCATATGGTAGGGGTGTAACCTAACTTCCCTTATAACCCCATTGAAATCCAAACACACCCTAATATTCAACATAATAAATTCCGAGAAATCAAACTTTTACACCAGAATATCCCATCCCTACCAGCAAACGTTGTCAGTTGATTGGTCTGAACTGAACCTCGTCATCTCTCTCTCTCTCTCTCTCTCTGGCTTCAACAACAACGCCAACTCCCTTACCTCGTCCCCTCCCTCCGCTCCCAAGACACCGCCGAATCTGGACCCGTTCCAATGTCACTCCCAATCCGACCCCCAAAATGGACCTCCCACCGCCGCCTCCTCGAGCACCACATCGCCGACCTCCACCACTGCTCGAGCCCCAGCCACCTCAAACAAATCCACGCCCAAACCTTCAGGTCCAATCTCCATCAAGACCCCTTCATTGCCCCGAAGCTCATCTCAGCCTACTCCCTCACCCGCTTAATCCCTCACGCCCTCAACGTGTTCGACCAAATTCCCCACCCAAACACTCTCCTTTTTAACACCCTCATCCGCGCTTTGACCCATAACGCATTGCATGAGAAAGCATTCTTGGTTTTTTTCAGGATGCAGAAGGATGGGGTTTTGGCCGATAATTTCACTTACCCGTTTCTCCTGAAGGCTTGTGGTGGCCAATTCGGGTTGCGGAAGGTTGAGATGATTCATGCCCATGTCGTGAAATTGGGTTTTTTGGAGGATATCTTCGTGCCCAATTCGTTAATTGACTCGTACTCGAAGGCCGGGAGTTTGGGTATTGCCTCAGCTAAGAGGTTGTTCGATGAAATGCCGCGTAGAGATGTTGTTAGTTGGAATTCGATGATTGCTGGATTTGTGAGAGCTGGGGAATTGAGCGAAGCTAGGAAGTTGTTTGAAGAAATGACTGAAAGAGACACAGTTAGTTGGAATACTATGTTAGATGGACATTCAAAGGCCGGAGAAATGGACAAAGCTTTTGAGTTGTTTCAGAGAATGTCTGAGAGAAATGTGGTTTCATGGTCTACTATGGTGTGGGGATATTGCAAGGTGGGCGAAATGGACATGGCTCGAATGCTTTTCGATAAGATGCCATTGAAGAACTTAGTCCCTTGGACCATAATAATAGCTGGGTATGCAGAGAAAGGACTTGCGAAAGAAGCTTCTTGCTTATTGGATCAGATGGAAGAAACTGGATTGAAGCCAGATGAAGCGACCGTTATAAGCATCTTAGCTGCGTGCGCTGAGTCAGGCCTGCTCGGCCTTGGCATGAGGATTCATTCGTACATAGAGAATTCGAAATTGGGGTTCAAAATAGAAGTTTGCAATGCTTTGATTGATATGTATGCAAAGTGTGGGAATTTGGACAAGGCATGGAGCGTCTTTGAAGGGATGAGAGAGAGGGATTTAGTGTCTTGGAACTCAATGGTTCAGGGTTTAGCCAATCATGGGTATGGCGAGAGAGCATTGGAACTATTTGATAAAATGGTAGCAGAAGGGATTAAGCCGGATAGTGTTACTTTTGTTGGTGTTCTTTGTGCTTGTACTCATGTAGGACTTGTTGAAGAAGCTCGTCGGTACTTTACTAGTATGAGGAAGGACTATGGAATTGTCCCTGAAATCGAGCATTATGGTTGTATGATAGACATTCTTGGTCGAGGGGGTCTTCTAGGAGAAGCATTTGATCTAGCAAAGACTATGCCTTTAGAGCCAAATGCAATTATTTGGGGTACCCTTTTGAGTGCTTGCAGAGTTCATAACAATGTAAACCTTGCAGAGGAGGCAGTAGATCAATTGATTAACTTGGAGCCATCTGATGCTGGGAATTATGCGATTTTATCAAATATTTATGCAGCGGCTGGTCGATGGGATGGTGTGGCTAAGACTAGGGTTCAAATGAAGCACATTCAGAAGCCAGCAGGGTCTAGTTGGATAGAGCTTGATGATTCTCTCCATGAATTTACAGTTGGGGATAGATCACACCCTCACTCTTCTAGAATTTTTAAGATGATCAATAGATTAGGACGACACTTAAAACAAGTTGGATATGTCCCAAAAGTCTTTTAGTGGATTAATTCCTGACATAAGTTATCATATTTCTGTCAATATATAAAGAAAGTAATAGGAGACAATCAGATCAACTCTTCCTTCAGCGCTGAAAGAATAGTAATCTGATTTTTGTGGTAGGATGGAAAATTTTATGCTCTCCTGCCACAGGATGGGCCATTTTAGCACCATTTCTCGTTCGAGAGGAGGATGAAGCTGAACAGGCGTTAATGTGCCAATGTATATTTTATGCCAAAAGCTTCGGTAGTTCTCCTTCAATGCTTTGGAGCAATTCATGATTCAAAAATTTCCTTGGATGTATATAATTGACAGAATAATGATCTGAATTTCGTAGTAGGATGGAGAATTGTCTTCTATTATACCGCAATTTCTCAAAGGAGGATGAAACTGAAGAAGTAGCTACTAAAGGTGCTCCACATTGCATTTTTCAAGACAGAAAAAACAGCACTTCTCAAGATGTTTTGCTGTAAAATGTTTAAATTTAAGATGGAAAATTGTACGCTCGGTATTTTGACAAGGATACTGTATATATATTTCTTTGACAATGGACATGTTGTATAGTTTTGAATCCCTGGAAAATACTTTTCAATATGTACAAATGGTAACACTACAAGATGCATGATTGAATTTATTTTGTACCTTTCAATTGACTCTTGTCCAATTTGCTACTTCAATTTAGACGCTATACAATATACTCATTCTAAATTTGTAACCTATCTGTTTATTATTTCATAGTTTCCCAAAGAGCTCAAAGCTCATTTTTGTATGTCTCAGAGACGACGACCAAGATTTGAGCAGAAATTTACCCGCGATCACTGGCCAATCAAGCAACGGTAACCGGCATATTTACATTGTTATTTGTATATATCATCTAAATTCTTAAATTCAGGGGAATGCGGAATAAATTTGAAGACCTGGTTCTGTGTCAGCCTACGTTTGGTGACCAGTTGACCCATCTGAGCTCATATACACCTGTTCAGGTGCCTCAATTGAACTTTTGCTAGATCAAATGGACAAGCTTAATCCTTTTTCTATTGAGT